CACACACACACACACACACATACACACACACCACTTCTGTACTTGTGAGGACTGATTCTCACCTGAATCTTAGATCCAGTTCTTAATCCTCAAACAGACTTTGAGGATCGAACAGTCACTTCAATCACCTGAACACGAAGTCGTCCTCACAGACACAGACTTGTTTCTCATGTTCATGCTTCTCTGGTGTCGTCAGATATCCCAGAGACGTGGGCTCAGCGCTGGGCAGGAGACTTTGAACTCAACCCTGAACTCCACCTTCCTGCTGAGAACAAATTCATCGGTGAGTCCATCACTTTGACTCGATCTCAGACACATAGTTTACGTCCATATCAGCTCATCAAATGGTTAATAAGACCGACCTCCACCATACAGCCGTGTTTTAAAAAGACGATTCCTACACGTCAGACATCATCGATCACTGGGGTTCACATAACCTTAAACCCACGACCCTAATCAAGTGCGTGGGTAACCCCTCTCTCTCTGTCTCTCGTTACTATGATCAACTCTGGTTAAATAATAAAGCAGGAGACACAGAGATCAGTGTTTGAAATGGAGCGTGTCAGAGATATTTTACGGGTTCATTCGTTTTCCTTCTGTTTCTTCTTCTGCAGCGACGGATTTCACCCTGAAAACGTTGGACTGTGCGAACACAGAGTTTCCTGTCAGGATCGTGAACAGTGAGCGAGGCTGTCTGTGGTACAAGAAGGACAACAAGTTCAAGATCCCCAAAGGTGCGAACAGTCAGCACATCAGCCATGTGCTGTTTGATTGGTCGAGGAAATGTCACAGCTGATTGGATGTGATTTCTGATGCTTTAGTAAACTAGTCTCTGAGCAGGAGAACAAATGGTTTCATTGCCTCTCTGTGTTTTTTCTTTATATGTCAGTTGTAACAAACTTCATGTTTAGATTAATTCCATCGTGTCACACCTGACCACGACCAAGACCTCGTCTTTTTTGTGTTTCAGCTTATATTCGTTTCAACTTGATCTCCCCGATGATACAGAGGAGCCCAGAGAAGTAAGAGACTCTTCTGTCACCACACAGCGAAGACCAGAAACACAAACACACCATTTAAAATCCAACCAGTGCAAACAGAAGCTACAGATAGAAATTATGTTTAGAGACAACAGTTGATCCATGACGTTGATGTTGTTATTCTTCGTCCTCCAGTCTTGTTCTGTTCGACCTCTTCGTCAACATCTTGGCTCACAACCTGGCGGAGCCGGCGTATGAGGCCGACGTGGCTCAGCTCGAGTACAAACTGGTGGCCAGCGAGCACGGACTGGTGATTCGACTGAAAGGCTTCAACCACAAACTGCCGGTGAGGAGAAGCTCACTGCGGAGAATTACCAGGGAGTTGATGAAGAAGTTTTCCAGTGTGTCATGTGTGTGAAGAAGCAGCACGTTTAGCATTCTTGGATGTTTTTAACTCTAAAGTAACAAAGACACTATAAACAACGTGTGTAGAGTTTAAACACCTTCACACGCATTTACAATATTTACATCGACGAAGGGCAAAGAAAACGGATCAGGTGACAGATTTAAAACATGAACCCACTCGTCTTCACTCGTCTGTGTTTCAGCTGCTCTTGACGCTGATCGTGGATCACCTGGCGGACTTCAGCGCAGAGCCGGGCGTCTTCGCCATGTTCTCAGAGCAGCTGAAGAAAACCTACTTCAACATCCTCATCAGACCGGAGCGACTCGGGAAGTACGTCACACAACCCGCTGAGGGTCAGGGTGGTGGGTGGAGCCAATCCCAGATCACCTCTTTTGGTCGGACTAAATCTTGTCGCGTTGTTCTGAACCGTGTCCGAGGAACCTTTCACACCTGATCTTTAGGTTCAGACTAAACCAGGGAGGTGTGGATTTGTCCTCTCTGTTCTTTCGGGAGTTAGGGGCTGAAAAGCTCTGGTTGCTTTCCCTCTGTTTCCGGTCTTTATGCTAAGCTAAGCAGCGGCTGTGCTCAGACGTGAGAGAGGAACTAACCTGAACATCGAACTCTCCTGCTCGACTGTAAGATACAATACAACACACTGTCCCTCTCTGTCTCTGTAGAGACGTCCGTCTGCTGATCCTGGAGCACTGTCGCTGGTCAGTCATTCAGAAGTATCAGGCCATCGTCAAAGGTCTGACCGTCGACGACCTCGTGGCTTTTGTCACCGGGCTGAAGGCGGAGCTGTACACTGAGGGGCTGGTACAGGGAAACTTCACCAGCACGGTGAGACACACACACAAATCAACACGTCACAAAACATTTCTTCAGCCTCTTGAACATCTCAAGTCACTGTTAACCCTAACCCTCCTCCACCAAGGAGGTCATGTTTTCAGCTACTGGACAGATCACCCCGGCTGGTGATCTGGATGATGTTCGGATGATGATTCTAGTTTATATTTAAAGAGGGTTTTAGTTCAGTTTTGATCTGTTGCTGATGTTTCCTCCAACAGGAGTCCAGGGAGTTTCTGCAGTACTTCACCCAGTGAGTATCCTGCTTTACATATTAGTGAACTTATTATTATTATTATTCAAAAGTGATCGGACCCATGAATTCTTGAAACGTCATTAAATGACATTGTTTCCAGTGTTTAACATTTGGATGTTAGGATCAATCATCAGTTTTTATTATTTACCAGAAGAAACAAACCACACGTCGATGTCGATGTATACGTTGAATGAAGATATCACAGTCCCACTCGTCTGACTTGGTGTGTGTGTCCCTGCAGGAAGCTGCAGTTCCAGCCTCTGTCTGCAGAGGCCCCCGTGATGTACCGGGTGGTGGAGCTGCCTCAGACAAATCATCTCTGTAAAGTCAAATCTCTCAATAAAGGAGACTCCAACTCTGAAGTCACCGTCTACTACCAGGTGAGAACGACCCCGTCACCACGTCACAGCTGGAGAGAAACGTTTCCCTCTTTATTCTAAAGATCCGTTGTTTGGTTTTCATGTGTGGAAATGTTGGATCGTCTCTCGTCTGTGTTTCAGTCGGGGCTGAAGAACCTCAGAGAACACGCCCTCATGGAGCTGATGGTGGTGAGTGTTGACGAGTTTTAACACACTTTGGTTTGTCAGTTATCTACTGAGACATTTTACAATAACACTAAATGATTAAAGAAATTAAAACATCACTTTATTTTGCTGCTGCAGAAAAGTCTTATTATTTTATTATAACGGCTCACAGGTCACAACAAGTGCACCTGTAAAACTTGTGTTCCTCTCAATGTGTCCTTGTGTCCTCGTGTCCTTGTGTCCTTGTGTCCTCTCAGATGCACATGGAGGAGCCCTGCTTCGACTTCCTCAGGACGAAGGAGACACTGGGGTGAGTGTTGTTCATTTGCACTGATTTAAACTGACCGATGTTTCTAGAACTTTCCCATTGAACCAAACAAACCTCTCTGATCCACCTCCAGGTACCAGGTGTACCCAACCTGCAGGAACACCTCAGGAGTGCTGGGCTTCTCCGTCACTGTGGAAACACAGGCCACCAAGTTTAGGTGAGGTGAATTGTTCCCATGGAGCTCGAGAGAAGGTGACAGCTCAGATCCGAGCCATTCAAAAGAACGTCTTCTTCTCCTGGCAGCACGGAGTTCGTCGAGGCGAAGATCGAAGAGTTCCTGGTCAGTTTCGGGGAGCGTCTGGCGGGTCTGAGCGAGGAGGCCTTTAGGACCCAGGTGACAGCTCTCATCAAGCTGAAGGAGTGCGAGGACGCTCACCTGGGAGAGGAAGTGGACCGCAACTGGTTTGAGGTGTTCACACAGCAATACGTCTTCAACCGGCTCAACAAGGAGGTGAGACCCAAACTAAAGATATTTAGTCCTGGGCCAGGTCCAGGTCCTGGTCTGTGGTTCTCACCTGCTGTGGTCTCTGTTGCAGATCGAGGTTCTTAAGGCCTTCACTCAGGAGGAGCTGGTCTCCTGGTTCCTGGAGCACAGAAACACCAGCAGCAGGAAGCTCAGTGTTCATGTGAGTTTGTGTTGTGGATGGTAAATTTAATTTCTGTTCTGAATGAATGGAACACGTGAAGTTCGGTTCAGACTCAGATCAGAATCTGTCGTATGATGATGAAAGCTTCACGAGATGTGAAGTGATTGTTTAACAGTGTGTTTCCTGTCTCTGGTCAGGTGGTTGGTTTCGGGCTGGAGGAGAACGATCCGCCAGATCAGGGCTCGGACGGCTCGGACAACCCCCCCGTCTCAGCCTACGGCGAAGTCAGCGAGCTGACCTTCCTGTCGGCCTCCTCACCGTCACTCCAGGACGCCACGCTCATCACCGACATCAGAGCGTTCACCTCCTCCCTCCCCCTTCACCCCTACCACAAAATCCTCAGCTAGGCCACTCCCACTGCAGAGCGACAGCAAACTCCACTAAAGACTGACACGGTAACCATGGAGATGGCTAGCTTTGGTAATCACACTGGTCAAAGGCGACACGCTTAGGATGAAAAGAAACGTTTCGGAAATGTTAGTTCTTTTCTTTTATGTGATGATGCTGTGTTCATGTCCTGGAGGAAAATGTAGATCTGAGCTTCATACTGATAAAACATGTTCAGGATCTATTAGCACCACAACTTTCATCGTCTCAAGTCACTTTACACTTTAACGTCGAGACAATCGACTGTAAATAAAACGGGACGACGCGTCTCTTCCTCCAGAAGAGAAGCCAAAATATCTCTGATTCAAACGCTGCCATCTTGTGGTGATGACGTCATTTACAGTCAGGGTCTGTGCAGTAGCGATCGTGGGGAGGAGCCTTGATATCAACGAGCTGAAACGACAGAAACATCTTTGACCAACATTGATTTAACGTTTGAGAGTTTAACTCGGAGTTTTTAGTTTGGTCCATGTCCCATCTGTTAACATGGAGGAGGAGGTTAATGATCTATACTACAGCCAGACACCAGGGGGCGATCAAGATGCTTTGGCTTCAGTTTTGGGAGCCGTCATGTCGTCCATCTTTATTTACCGTCTGTGGTTGAGACCTCACAGTGTAAAATGTTTGAACTCTGAACTTTGACCTGAAATTACACCAAGTCTGTGACAAAAAGTTTTTTTAATTATTATTATTATTTTCATTATAATTTGTGGAAACTTGTAACTGAAGCGTCCGTCACAGTTGAACAAATCAATGTGATGTTTTCAATTCTTTTGTTGGTTCCAACCAACAGAACATTAACAAATCTAAATCTTCTCAGTGAGTTGTTAAAATATTTAAACTGCAGCTTCTCAGAAAACTAAATCCAGAGCAACATGACGAGTGATTCACCAGAATTCCTCCTGATTGCTCTTTTAACTGCGAGGTGTGTTTTTCCCAGGTGCAGTGAATGCAGCACGATGTCTCAGGGCTCTGGTTTGTTACAAAAGGGAAGAACGATCATTTCTCACTGAAGCTCGTCGTCATGTGTTTACATGTTCCACTGTCGTGTTCTCTTATTTCAATGTTGAACCTGATCTGATGGCCTGAACCAAACAGACCAGAATGTTTTACAATCTTCTGTTGAGGCTGAGGACGAGTTTCACATTCAAATAATTAATTACATTTTCACTTCAGTGACAGTTAAAAAATAGCTACTGATTGTTAATTCTGTCTTTAAATGATAATTAAAAAATCTTCAAGTGTTTTTGAATTATTCGTCTCACAGTTATTTTGTTATTTTGTTTTCCACCAAATCTTTATTATGAGAAAAATACAAAAACTAATGTACAGAGCAGCATCATCACGTGATGTTAAATATGACGAGTTCCTGCGAGTCGTGATGATGTAAATGTCCCAGAGTCTCAGTGAGTGTGAGCCGGAGATGAACAGATGAACGGGTGTTGAACTTCTGACGAGCAGCTCGAGGAAATCCAGCTTCTGGGGTTTTCAACCAGCATGCAGTCTGAGCCGCCACTGCGGTTCGGTGGCGCCCCCCTCGGCCTGGAGAAGGACCCCGAGCGACCATCAGCCCACATCCAGCCCCTGGGACCTGCGGGCAGACCTGAGGAGCACAACAACAGGGACACAACAGGGACACAACAGGGACACTGATCAACAGCTGTTCCTAAGCTGGAAACCTGGAAGCTGGGGGTTGGCTGCCGTCACTCACCGATCCAGAACGGCTTCTTCCTGGAGAACTTCCACAGCCAGGTCATGTCTCTCCGGGAGCGCACGCTGGTCAAGCTGCTGTTGAACCTGTGAGGGAATCAAACGTTTTCACGCAGCTCTGTGGATCCTTTAACTCCAATTAGTTCCCATGGCAACCGCGGTGATTTCTGACACCTTTGGGAAACTAAGATTTTTTTGGTTCCACATTTTCCTTGAAGTGAAAAGTTCAACGACATTTAACTAACACAACTGTGTGTAGTGTTCGTGTGTGTGTTCGTGTGTGTGTCTGTGTGTATTACAGCAGTGAGCAGGTTCTCTCAGCACTGGCCCATGTCGCCACAGACGAGCTGATGATGTAACAGCGTCTCCTGTAGTGAGTCCAACCATCAGGACACGAGCTGCTGGAGGACTGACGACAAAACAGAGACACACCTCAGACACACAACGTAACACGTGTGTGTCTGTGTCTGTGTTGTGTTGTGTGTATCTGTGTGTTGTGTGTACCTTATGCTGCCTTAGCTCCGGTGCTGGATGATCCATCTGAGGAGTGTCACCAACTCGCCCATCCTGCAGGGGGCGACTGTGGGGAGACCAGCTCCACCCAGAGTCCTCCGGCTTCAGTTCCTCGAGACGAAGAGGAGTCAGACTGTGGAACTGAGGAGGAGGAAGAGGAGGAGGAGGAGGAAGAGGAGGAGGAGGAGGAGGAGGAGGAAGAGGACATTCACACATCACGTTCATTCGTTTGTGTCTGTGTTGTCTGTGTGTGTGTCTCACCGTCCACACTCTGTCTCCAGGCGTCCTGTCTCCTGACAGATGAACCTGAAGGTTCAAATTTTGATCAAACATCTTTTCACAGAAGAAAATAATCAAGTTTCAGGATTCATGAAGATTCAAGACGTTAGAAAAGAGACTCCTGATGGTTAATGAGTCCTCATCCACTGCCTGATGGACAGGGACAGACAGACTGATGTAGGACAGGGACAGATGTAGGACAGGGACAGATGTAGGACAGACAGACTGATGTAGGACAGACAGACTGATGTAGGACAG